ATATATATATATAAAGGACATATCAAATATGTATGAAAATGTAATCTCACTCTAGTCTGTGAAAGAAGGCCGCTTAAGGGGCAAGTACGAGATAACGTCGAAATATGAGCTTTATTAACGCTATTTCGTTCAAGGCGATGAAGGATTGGTAGCTGAATTTTCCCACAATGATATGAGAGGAGCTGATGTTTCCATTGAATTTCACATATGCTTGCTCCCCTAAAGGTGTTCCTATCCAGGGTCTACTGCAGTTTCGACCTCGCCTAGGTCTTAGCAACACACCCAGCGGGATTCGAACCATGAAGGTGTAGCGTGTAGCATCAATACGTTAACCACTACGCCACATTGCTAAGAGCGCCCTTGGGTCAGAGGGAAGATAGGAATTACAAGGAAAGTCAGGCTTTTTCCTATATCACATTCTTTGGTGGGATTGTCGATGTAATATTTGCTATGACAATCGACTACATTATTATTTTTCGTTTATAAGTAGGGTTTAGAGACTACCAGTAAATCAGTGATATGAGATGTATTTGCCTTATTTCGTCTCATATAAATATAAATAAATAAATAAATAAATAAATAATAAATAAATAAATAAATAAATAAATAAATAAATAAATAAATAAATAAATAAATAAATAAATAAATAAAAATATAAATAAATAAATAAATAAATATATGAATTACTGGTGGTCTCGAAAACCTGTTTCTAAAACGAAAAATAAGTAGTGTAGTCGAATGCGATAGAAAATACAACTTTGCTTCATCAAAAGTTCCACCATAGAATGTGATGTGGGAAAAGGCCTGGCCTTCGTTGAAAGTCAGATCTGCCCAAGAGCACTCGTGACAGTGTGGCAGAGTGGTTACTGTGTCGAGATTATATGTTGCATTACGACAATCTGGGTCAGAGTCCCGCTGGGGTGCTGATGAGACCAGATTAGGCGAGGTCGAAAATGCAGTCCATCCCAACCCGGACCGAAAGCAAAGTCCACTCAACTGATTGTGGGAAAATTCAACTCTCTTATCAGCTTAAACGAAATAGAGTTAATTCATCTCATGCACACTTACTTGTCTTTAGCCCATACCCAGCAAAATCATATGCGTTCACCTGGTCCTGAGGGATAATATGGTGGACAACCTAAAGTATCACGCAATTATATTACTTTCTATCTCGAAGAAAAAGATGAATGGAAGGAATTCGTGATCATGTGCTAAGCTTTCGTCTGTACCGCCATCAGAGCAAGAATTCATACGTTACGAAATAACACACCGAATAAAATAAGCCAAGCGACAACCCTCCTTCAACTTCCAGTGAGACCATTTTACAGATTCCTTTCAGCCAAAGACTAGAGAAGATGACATACATTTTTAATATGATACAAAAGTGGGTTCTGAAGAATTTATTAGTGATATGTTGTGACATTAATTCCCATTTCGGAGGAAAAAGTTGGTTGGAAGGCATTAATGAAATTGTCTTAGCGTAAGCCGAAGAAGGATTGCCGTTAAATGAAGTAAAGACTGTTAATCGAAGGTATGAAACCCAAGATGGTGTGGCCCTTTGTGTGGTCGCAGTCTCTTTTGTCATATAGATGTTGTATGACCTTGTTTTCGCAACTTGGTCATGTTGGTAGGAGGACTTAGAGGAACGCACCTAGTCCGGGTCCATTGTATGCATCATCGTTTCCAGAGTGGGACCGCAGACGTGGTACATTCCCAGACGTCTTGCCGGCAACTACTATGGCAGACGACTTCGGACAGGGTGCGTTCTACATAGTCACCATGACAACAAGACCAAGTTGCGACAACGAGGTCAACCAACTTCTATCCAACCTTAACTCACCTCAAACGACCTAAGCTGATAAAACCATTATTCTAGAATTTTGGACATTCTCAAAAATTGCTTTTATTTAAAATATATCCTTAAGAAGTTGGCAGTCAGGGCGGTTTAGGGCCGACCTTCTCTCCGCCCGAGGGACGGCAGCAAGAGACCTGTCAGAAGAGATGCAGGAGGATATTTTGAGTGCGATAACTCCGGAAAGGAGGACTCAGCTGAGCCTGTTTTTAAGACGACGCCGAGGATCAGGTCTCACGTGACCAAAAGAGACCGGCACTGGGGTCAACTCACTATTTTCACAACCGACATTCCGTTTCTCAGCGGGCAACATGTCTGTTGGCAACTTGAGCCACACCTCATAAGTGACATCACAGTCCACGTTGTTCGTCTGAACCCAAGAGAGCAGGCCGGACGTCGATGAGACCGGCGTCATGCTCACATTTCTGGTGTCGACTATGTCTGGGGCTGAAATAGGGATTGAGAGAGAGAGAGAGAGAGAGAGGAGAGAGCGAATATCTTTGTATCATGAGCATTCTCCGTTTCAGTGTACATCATGACTTGGTTTGAAATATAAAATAAACCTTAAGTGACCTAGGGTGACTAAGGGATTATTCGGGAATTACTGATAGCCCCGAAAACTACTCATATCGAAAATAAGTAATGTGTTTGCTTAATC